GCACTGGGTAAGTCTGTCATCAGCAATGGTCATTTATTCTAAGCCTTCCGTTTATTTTAAAGGACACATTCACCAGAGCTATGACAACATAGGCAATTTCATATGGCGGGTGTATCTGACATCGTCTCCCAAAAACTTACAGTGACTGACAAGTTCAAGGCTCTAAGAGTCACATAGCACCAACTATGTAAACCAAAGGCAGAAGCAAAGAATTGAGTAGCTGTAAAGAGAATCCAGGCAGCAAATGCCGTGGTGTATAACCACCCACCTCAGTGTCCATCGTTACAAGTCTGGACCATTCTATGTTAACCTTGAAGATGCAGTTCCCATCTTTCAGTCTCCAAGCCATCTTCTCCTCCTAAACATGATCTCTGACCTAATTTGTCCTTGGCTGTTTACTGTGTAGACTTAGAGCATCATTTCTCATTGCCAGAAGGGATGAAATTTGTAGGATACGCACAGACAAAGAAGACTCAAACTCAGTCACAGCATGGTGTTACTTGGTAAGTTGTTTTTTCTTTATTTCCTTCTAATGTTCCAACTGTGCTAGCTCCTCTACCCTCAGCTTTTGTTAAAATCTGTTCTTTAAGACCTTGGTCTTGGCCCCATGCAAACCAACGCTTCATGAGTTGTTTGGTTTGTTTTGGGCTTGGGTTTTCACCTTTGACTCAGTCATCACAGGAACTAGAAACAATGAGATCCCTGAGTGCTTCTGTGGAGGAGAAGGTCCCTGTGTCCTGCCTAAAGTCCTACTGTCGAATACGCCTGCAGGACAATGTCTAGAGGCCTGAGTGCTTTTCCTTCAAGGAAAATGTGTGACTTTTTGGATTGTTTGTATTCGCACACCATGCCCATTCCCACTAAGGAACGTAAGAACTGTTGCCAGGCAGACTTTGGGAGGTGAGCTGAGTACGGTGCTGGGCTGAGATGCACACATTCAGTTCTGGGTGCTGAGACAAACTTGTGTGCTAGAACAGAGTGAGTTAAGGATGGAGACAAAAGTGGGCTCTAGAAGCAGAGCAAGACACCTAGGAACGCCGTGTGGAACAGGAAGAAAGGAGTAAAAGGTAGACGTCCTGTACTGACAAGCGAAGAACATTTGCAGACCAGAATGTTCTGTAAGGAAGCTCAAGAAAGCTTGGCAGGATATTCATAGTAAATCCTCCCCTCCATGTATCCCCTCCCCACAGGAACATCTCCACTCTGCATTGTCTTGCCCACAAAAACAGATTCATCTTGTAAACTTCAGGGAAGAACTGAGGTCTGTGGCTCTGGACTAGCTTAGGACAAGCACTAGAAAGAGGCTGGGGTTGCTCATGTGGGTTGTCGACTGGATCTGGAATCAGCTTAGAAACAGCCCCTTGACTACATTAATTGAGGTAAGGAGACTCATCTGCTATGGATGACACCATTTCCTGGGTGAGATCCTGGACTGTATAAATAGAGAAGGAGAACTTAGGACCAGCCTGCATTGACCCTTCTCAGCTTCCCAGCTCTGGACATGGTGTGACCAGTCCCCTAAGCTTCTGCTGCCGGGACTTCCATGCTGAGCTTACCCTAGAACCGTGAGTCAAATAAACCCTTCTCCCTTAAGTGACTTTTGCCAGGGCATTTTATCACAAGAGTAGGAAGTGAACTAAGACAGAGACAGACACACACGAGGCAGTATGGGAGCCCCAGACCTCTCTCTGTGTCAACTCCCAAAGGTTTAGGTGTGAGACGAACAGAGGCCTCGGTTCAGTCAGTGCAGACTTAGGATTCCTGCATGACCAGAGACAAGTATCGACTCCCTCTGACCTTGCTTTTCCCTCTGTGAGACAATGGCTTCACATCTGTGAGGGGAACAGCATGATAGACAATGTGGGAGTGATAATGGGTTTTCCATTTTTGTTTTTGCTGCTGTCAACATTGAGTCAAAAGAAGCTTAACTCAAAACAATTGATATGTGACCTTTTTGTAAATGTGCCTTTGTTGCCTCTGAGTCTTAGCCCTAGTTGTTTACAGTAACTACCTCAAAACATATGCAAGAGATGGGGCTACAGGAGAAGGTATTCCCTGTTCCCTGTATTGGGTCGCCCATCTTCCCATTACAATTTTAGTGTGTGGTGGCAGTTGGTACCTTCCCCTCCACAGCCACGCTTCCAGTATCATAGTCATGTGACCATCAACTGGACCAATCTTAGTGTTGATCCCACTCATCAGAACCTGGCTGCCTCTGGATTTGGTAGTGATGTCAATGTCTAAGGAAACTCTTTTCTCATTACCAGATAAACTCTTTTCTTATCACCATGTTTACAAGGAGAAGTCACCTCCCACACCTGCCCAGAAGCATCCCACTTGACACCTAAGGAGAGTGAGATTCTGTTTACATGCTAGTGAGCAGCTCAGAACAGCACCCACACAGCCTGGCCAGTCCTTCTTCTGTACCCTGAACTCAGGGAACAAGCAAGCCACTGCCACTGGTTGGGCAGCCTAGAGTGCATCAGAGCCTCAAGGCACAGGCCCTCACTTGCCTGGGGAAGTAAAAGCCAGCTTGAGCTCCTCCTCTGGGGTCCTATAGGCCCTGGCAGAACAGTGGAAGCCCTGTGGCATCACCAATGGAAAGGCAGCCTTGGCTCCATACACAAGGCTCCAAGCATCCCTAACAAACAGGCAGACACCAAAACCTTCAAATAAGTCTCAGGTCCATCAGAGCTCATGGACATCTCACCTTTTCCCTCCCTTCTTATAACTTTTGAGGACACCACACAGATCTTAGGTTGCTAAGGCCCCCAGGATTAGCTGATTGGTGGTTGTTTGGGCTTTACAAAGAAGAAAATAGGTGGTGTGTCAGTTGTTATGGCAAAGAACAGGAGTTTGCAAGTAAGAAATCCAGTGCTCCTGGATTTCCAGTCACTACTTGGGAATTAACCAGCTCTCCAGGTCCCCAGCATGCAGGTTTTACAGAATACTGTTTAAACCTGAGGGAAGAGGAAATTCTCACTGCTCTTCTAACAAGAGCCACCAAAAATCCTCAATAAATTAAGCAGGCAATTAACTGTCCATCGGCTGAACAGATCGGCCCTCTGGGCTCTCTGGTCTGGTCACATGTTTTAGCACCTTCTTTAGAAACACTTCATAGAACATCTCTGCCTCACCAGAAGTACTCACAGACAAGATTCAAGGTAAATTATGCGAAACGAAACATTGACTGTACACGAGAGCAGCAGACAGCACACAATATTGCTGCCGAGGTACTAATGGGGTCAGCAGTGCACGCAGCATCCCTGCCCAGGTGCCGATGTGGGTCAGCAGTGCACGCAGCATCACTCTCCAGGTGCCAGTGTGGGTCAGCAGTGCACAGAGCATCAGTGCCCAGGTGCCAGTGTGGGTCAGCAGTGCACGCAGCATCACTCTCCAGGTGCTGATGTGGGTCAGCAGTGCACGCAGCATCACTCTCCAGGTGCTGATGTGGATCAGCAGTGCACAGAGCACCAGTGCCCAGGTGCCAATGTGGGTCAGCAGTGCACAGAGCACCAGTGCCCAGGTGCTGATGTGGGTCAGAGATGACTGGGGTCAACAGTGCACACACAGAGCATCACTGATGGGGGTCAGCCACACAGAGCACCACACTACCAAACTGACGTAGGATACCAGACACACTGACTTGCTCTTCCTGCTACCAGTCCCATCCTTCAGGGTTCAGTCTGCTTTCTAGGGACTCTTGTTAATCAGGGATAAAGCCCCTTGAAACTGCAATACCAGCACAAACCAGTGCCCCACTGCCACCATCCTGGCAGCTTGCCAAGCATGCTGTTTTAAAGTTAGGCGTTAGGAGGCAGCAATGGCTCAAAACCATGGGCAAAGAGGTGGCTTTGGGAAGTTGGGAAAGAGAAACGTGTGGAAAACAGGCCTGTCTGAGGCAAACTTCCGGGAACTCAGATTCCATGAGAGGAGCAGTTAGAAGAGACAGGGCTAGTCCTTGCCAAGACTCGTGTGAGATTACCTGAGTCCTGGGTTCTGTGTTTCATCATCTCTATTTAAAAACAAAACAAAACCAAAAAACCTCCAGCCAGGGACCTAAAGGGTTAAACGGCATTAAAGCCCTGGGATTCACTGGGTTGGTTTGCTCTTGGCTCTGGAAGCAGGAAGGCTGCCTCTGTGGGGTTTTGGGGTTCCCCCCACCCCCGCCGCCGGCCGCCTTGCTTTAGTAATGTGATCTTCAATATAAACACCCTTCAAGCCACCTGAGACATTAGTACTGGCTGTGCACCCTTGCTCCATTCTGACTGAGCTATTTCTCAAACTTACAATAACATTGTGGTTATGTACATATGCCAATGTCCCATTTGCCTTTTTAAAAATTACCTGTGGCATGTGCTCTAATCCAAGGTATAACGTTTCAGATAACAAATCCGTCTGATTTTCAGGAAGTTAAAAAATGCACTTTTCACTTTCTCAAAGGGGAAACTACTTTTGTATTTTAATTACGGTTCGTTGAAATATTTAAATGACAAGAAATTTTGCTTAAGTTACCTTTAAAATTGTTTGACTTTTCATACGGAAACAACTCTCGCCTCTCTCTGGATGTTCATCATGAGGAAATAAGCTCATGTAATTTACACAACAATTTTACCTCGTTCATAAATGGAGAGAAATCGTGATGACTGTGAATTAAAACTACAGTGTACAATGGTACACACAGAAGCATCTCCGGAGCCTGAGATGTTCACGTTGAATCTTAAACTGCTCTGCTAGGACGCGTGAGTTCCATGCCACACAAGCTCAGCATCACACAGTACACAAGAGGAAGCATCAGGGAGAATGTTCATTGTCACCACAGAATATTGTAAAGAACAGCCAAGTCGCCCAGAATTCACATCAAACAACGCAAATATGGCAGGAAACCCACTTCCCTTCACGGCATGCGTGCTTATTCCAAACTCCTGCAACAATCAAACCTCAGCTCTACGGCAACCAGCTCAGAGCAGGGACAGAAGAAAACGGCACACGTTACTTACTGTTCTTAAGACGTTTATCTGCATCCTTCTGGTTCCGATGGGTGAAAAGGGGTCGGTGCCAAGGAGAAATCTAGCAGGCAAAAAGAGGGGAAAGCAAGTGTTAGTCGTCTGTAAATTCACATCTCCAGGTTTTCCTGAGGCAGCCCCACAAGAGCCCAGCACAAGGACAGAAAGAAAAAGTTGGAGGAATTACCACACCCTCGGCAGGCGACATTCTTTACAATCGAACGGAGCTCCAAACTTTCCCAGCTCAGTCTGCTGAGCCTCGTGTACTGCAGACATCCAACTTCGGCCCCACTGGTGACGACTGAGTCCACAGAACCACGGTGACTTCAACTCCCCGTCCACTGCTCCCCACTTCTCTCCCCTTCTCCATTCACTTTTTCCCTTCCTACGAAAAGCTCATAGGTCTGTTCTCAGTGCCCCCCTAGCCAGGCCTGGCTTTGAAATGCATTTCAATCTCTCCACACAGACGGCTTTCATTGCATTTAGAGTCCCACTAAGGCCCGGCTTTAAAAGCTACGGATTCTTTCTTTCTTTAGCCTTCCCCACAAAGGAAGGGTATTTTGTAAATTACCAGCTCGTTCAGATCAACAAAAGGTACTTTCATAGAAAGCCCCATTTCATTTTGCTCAAATTTGATTACAAGGATGGAGAAAAGGGAAGGAAGTCAAAAAGAAAACCCCAGATGGCTTTTCCATTCATCGCGGTGAATGAGCTTTATCTCTGCCTTTTGAAACCGCAGCCGTGGAAAGCATTTCTGTTGGCTTAAAAAACTTGACAAAAATTATTGGTTTGCCATTTCTCATGCAACAGCCATTGGGAACTGGATGAAAAGACTTTTTCATGGGATCGCCTGCTTGGATCAAAATAATGGAGATTAGGTATTTCATTATAAATTACAGTGGGAGATAGAGCGCCTGTCATATTAATAGCTACCTGCTCATGGCCTTCAATGTAGCTGTTCTCCTAGACAAAGGACCAAGAGGGTTGTCTATTGAGCTTGTACTTTAGTCCTGATCAATTTTCTATCATCAAGGCAAAAGGTGAGGTGCCTAACAAAGACATTCACACATGAGTGACCTCATAAGCCTATAGATAAAACAGCTTAAAGAGGCAAAATACATCCTGAAATTATGGATGATAAACTACATAAAGATGGAGGAGAAGACAGAGCGGAGAGTGGGAGAGGAGAGCAGAGCTCTGTAATTCTCTTCTTTCGGCCAAATGGACACATTAAAAGCGACTTGTTTTCAGCTGCAGATAATTGCAGCCTGTGGTTTGCAGTGGTCGCTGGAAATGCTTCCGCCTACTCCTTTTCCCCCTCGGCACAGTTTCAGACATTTCATTCGCTATTAACAGCAGCATTGTGTTCAGGCTAAGGCTTCTACCAAGAGTCGCACTTAAAAACTAAAAAATGGAAAGGAATTGCAAACAACACAGGCTTCACACACTGTGCTGTGGAGGGACAATGCTTGTTCTCTACTCCAGGTCACTGATCAGCATGGCATTTCTGCCAGGAATCTAAAAAAGCAGTTTAGAGTCTATGCTGTACCTGTAATTAAAACACAGAACTTTAACGAAGTACAGTGAAACCCGGGGGACTCAGTGAAGATTCTCTCAAAAACCAGAGAAAACAAACTCCTTCGTAGAGACCCAGAAAGAGATGGATGATTCTGTTTCATCCAATCACAAGGGATATTTTATATTTCTAATCAAAGCCACACAAATGATCGCAGACGTTACTCATGTCCTTTATCCTCTGCTATTGCCAAAAAATTGTCCTCAACTTTCCCAAATAAAAACAGGGTGGGGCTTTCTGGCCACTAGTTCATTGGTCCTTGAATTCAGGGTAACAGTAAAGAAAGCATCTTTCAGGGATTTAAAAAGCCAGGGTTCACTTGCCCCCATTACCTGGAAATACAGTCCCAGTCTGACATTCTATGTCCAGTACATACAACTAATGCTAAGTTAAAATATATGTGAGCAGGAAAATTTTCTGTACTAGTTTAAACCAAAGAGCAATATAAAGTTATTAATATAAAAGGACTTTTAACTGCCTAAAAGCTTGAGAAATGCCATAAATATCAGCCATGGCAGCAACTGTCAAAATAAGGCCACATTTGGATGGACACCTGTAACAGGTATAATGACTTCCAGACCTTGGACATGAGTGGCTGTAGTGTATACTCACCCACATTAGTAATTTCCTTATGTACAGTAATAATACAGGAAGTTCATTTATGTATGGTCAAGAAACAAGAATACAATGATCTTTGCTGTATTCCATGACTCCACATTGTCTCAGACTACACCATCTTTGTTTGCTTTTCAGAGAGCCCTGGAGCCTTAGACTTTCTTAACCATTCAGAGAGAGAAGAAATTGAAGGTTGTTAACTGGTAGGTGCCAGTGAACAGACAGGCTCTTCCAAGTGTGGTATAAACTTGGATTGGCATGAACCTTGCAGAGGGTGATAGTACATGTCTTAAGAGTCCGAAATTCTATGTAGCCCTTGACCTAGTTATCCTGCCTCTAGGAACTGACCTGGTGGAAACCACCAGAAATGAAGACAAAGATTACCGCCCTTCCCCAAAAAACTATTTACTGCCCTTGATTTCTTTCTTTTGCTGTGATAAGCACCGTGAACTAAAGGGACTTGGAGAAGAAAGGGTTCTTTAGCTCCTATGTCACTATAGCAGTCCATGGAGGGAAGTCAGGGCAGGAAGTCAAACAGATGCGGAAACCGTGGAGGAGCACTGCTCACTGGCTTGCTCTTCCATGGCTTCTTCAACTTGTTCTTTTACACAACTCAGGACCACCTGCCCAGACCACTCACAGTGGCCTGGGCCTTCCCACATAATCATTAACCAAAAAAAAAAGGTCTCCACAGACTTGTCTACAGTCCAATCTGGTGGAGACATTTTCTCAGCTGAGGTTCCCTCTTCCCAGGTGGCTGTAGCTTTTGTCAAGGGAACAAAATCTAGGCAGCACATCTACCAAACAATGGATCAGAGAAGTCGTCAGGAATACAAATTCGAGAACCTGACTTGCTGAGCTCCGGTAACAACAAGCTGGTGGCTTGGTTACTAGTCTTCTGTGCCTTGTTTTTCTCACCTGCAAATCAGAGTCTCAGATTTTTAATCCTAGAGTTTGGGAGGCTGAAGCAAGAAGAGGAATTCCAGGCCATGTAGTAGGTTCTAGTTCCAACTGAGCTACCTGTCAAGACCCTGTCTCAAAAATGGGTGGAGGTGGACAAGGTGTGATGGTCATGCCTTCAATCCCAGTACGAAGGGTGAAAAGGCAAGGGATCTCTCTGGGTTGAAGGCCAGCCTGAAGTTGAAGGTCTTACATAGTGAGACCCTACATAAAAGGAAAGAAATAGGGTGGGAGCTCTCCAATGTGTTGAGATACAGTAAAAGAAACAATCAGCAGAAAGGAGAATGACTTACAGGAAATACTTGTAAGTGTGCTTCTGACAAGGGTTTGGCATCTAGAATGTGTCAGGAAAACATACTAATGAGCAATATAAAACCAATAAAAATGGGCAACAGACTGAAACAGACATTGCACAAAGAAAAGTATACAAATGGCTGACAGGGACAAGAAAAGGACTGTCTAATCTCACAAATCAAAACCCTGTATGCTGCTGGCTCAGCGAGTAAAGGTATATGTCACTAAGTAAAGGTATATGTCACTAAGTAAAAGCATATGTCACTAAGCCCGATAACCCGAGTTCCTTAGAAGTCATATGATGAAAGAAGAGAACTAATTCTCACAAGTCATCTTCTGACCCCCCCATGTGTGCTGTAGCAGACACACATGCAAGCACACACACACACACACACACACACACACACACACACACACACACACACACACACTAAATGAAAAAAAAAACCACAACAAGCTATCACCCTGACATACAGAAAGAATGGCTGTTACTAAAAAGACTAAAAATAACAAGTGCTAGAAAGAATATGGAAAAAGAGAATCCATGCAACTGTGTGTGGAAGTTTCTCAAAACCCTTAAAAACAGAATTATTAGGGACTGGAGAGACAGCTCAGCAGTTAAGAGCACTGACTGTTCTTCCAGAGGATCAGGGTTCAATTCCCAGCACCCACATAGTGGCTAACAACAATCTATAACTCCAGTCCCAGAGGACCAGGCATGTACATGGTACACAAATACACATGTAGTCAAAACATCTATATACATAAAAGTTTTTAGACAAAAAAATCAGAACTACCTGTTAATCTCTTTGCTAGCATACAACTCAATAAAATGAAACCTGTGCCCTTCCAGCAATAGTATTCAAAACAAGGCTGCGTGAGGTGGAGGAAAACAGAAGAAGCACCAAGGTGCACTAGACTAGTCTTTAGTAACTAAAGTGACTAGAAAGTTGTAAATTCTCCAAGACTATCTTATCTTAGGAATCCTGGTCTTGCCACATCTAAGCTCACCTTAGACTCCCAATCCTGCTACTTGGGTCTCCCAAGAGCTAGACTGCAAGTGTGTGCCTCTCCACCTGGCTTCCCAAGATATTGTCAACACTCAGAAGCATGGCAAATGGAGTTGAAGTTGTAAAAAATAGAAATGAATTCTGATTCTTTTTGGTTCATGCATTGCTGAAATAAAAATAATGTCAAATTGAAAACCAAGACTTTTTGAGAAATGTCTGTTAATAGCAAGCAAGCTTTATGAGCAAGTGTCTCAACCATTGTCTCCACACCCAGATGCAAAGCAGTGTTATCTACAGTATCAACGACAGAGGCACTCCAAGTGTGAGTAAAGATGGATGGATACAGAATAGCATACACATAGGCAATGGACCATCAGTAATGCAAAGAAAGAAGTTCTAACATCCCAGGTAAAATAAGCCACTCACAAAAGTACAAATATGAGAGGCTAGGGAGATAGCTCAGTCAGTAAAGTACTTGCTGTATAAGCATAATGACCTGAGTTCAATGCCCAGTATCCATCCATGTAAGAAGCTGGACCTGGGCATACACCTTTAACCCCAGCACTGGGGATGCAGAGACAGGAGGGTCCCTAAGGCTCTCTGCCCAGCCGGTCTAACTGGATTGTCGAGCTTCAGTCACATTGAGAAACCCTGTTTCAAAACCTAAGGTGGAAAGCAATAGAGGATGACAGCAGCAGTGATCTCTAGTCTCCATATGCGTGTATGCGTACATGCACCTTCTACACATGTGAACACACACAAGGATGGGTACAATATGCCTTCACTTTCATGACCTAAACAGGAAGGAGATATGTAGTTAATGGAGGCTGGAAGAAGAGGGCAAACAGAGTTGAGTGACAGGTACATAATTTTAGTTTTGCAAATTGAAAGATCTCAGGGGGTGGGGGGTGGGGGTGACTGCAAAACAATGTAAATGTAACATCATGAGCTATATCGATGAAACTGCTTAAGGTGGTAAACATTGTGCTTTATACATTTTCTCTAAAAGCTGTGAAAACGTTGCTTCCTGGCTCGCGGTTTTAGTGTTACAAGCATCTAGTGTAACCCGGAAGAAGAAGAGAGTGAAAAGGGGAACAGCAAAGAGGACCGCTGCTATGTGAAGTTAGCTGTATGGCTCAAAAACTTCACTGCCCCAAGAGAACTCAGTCAGGATTTCTCCTGAGCAGGGGTAGGGCCTGGAACTGGACGTCAGCAACTGGGAAGAAGACATGGGTATTTTGAATGTTCTGGTACAGCGTGTGCCAATGGGCCAGACTGGCTTGTAGACAGATTCAGAATGAAGATTCAGACTGAATGGTAGAACTGGTCACCTGCTCTTTGAGAATGCCACAGAAGGGCCTGCAGTTCTCTGGGGAGAGCCTTCTTTAAGTCCACCATCCCTACAGAACCGAGGATGGCCTTGACTCAGTGATCTTCAGCGTCTGCCGCCCAAGCGTGGTGACTGCATGCCTGTGCCCAGCTTTCCAGTTCAGCACTCTCACACACTTTCCCCCATGGCT